TCATCATTTCTTCCACACACTTTAGCTAGTCTCCATTTAAGAGCAAATTTCAGAGAGCATTCTCTTATCTGTTTTGAACATTTCTTTCTTTCATGTCTTTTAATGACTGCTTTCTTCATGCATGATGTTCTTGACAACTCTTCTGGTCTTTGATCACTGGTGTTCAATGTGTCAAATCTACTTTTCAGATGGGCTCTAAATTCAGGTGGGATGTAACCAAGGTTGTATTTTGACTCTCACGGACTTGTTTTAATTTTCTTCAGCTTCAACTTGAACTTGCTTATGAGCAATTGATGGTATGTTCCACAGTCAGCTCCTGGTCCTGTTTTGACAGGGCTTCTCCATCTCCTCTTTCCATATAGTCGATTTAATTCCTGTGCATTCCATCTGGTGAGATCCTGGCATACAGTTGCTATTTATGTTGTTGAAAAAAGGTATTGGAATGAATAAATTGTTGGTCTTGAAAAATTCTGTCATGCTGTTTCCAGCATCATTTCTATCACCAAGGCATATTTTCCAGCTACTGATGATTCTTCTTTGCTTCCAACTTTCATATTCCAATCACCAGTAATAATTAATACATCTTTATCACATATCTGGTGAATTGCAGCCTGTTGAAATTGGTAAAAATCTTCAATTTCTTCACTTTTTTACTTTAGCAGTTGGTACATAAATTTGAATAATAGTAGTATTAATTGATCTTCCTAGATGTATGGATATTATCCTTACACTGACGGCTATGACTTCTGGAGGATCTTGAAATGTTCTTCTTGATGTTGAATGTGACAGTTCCTCTGCAATTTATCATTCCTAGTGTACACCATATCACATTCGGATTCAAAATGGCCAATACCAGTCTGTCTCAGCTAGGACATCTATCTTTATGCATTCCACTTCATTTTTGACAACTTCCAATTTTCCTAGATTCATACTTCATGCATTCAATGTTGTGATTATTAATGAATGTTTGCATCTTCCCATTTTGAGTCATGCCAAATCAGCAATTGAAGGCTCTGAGGGCTTTATTCCATCTATGTCATTGAGATCAAATCTACTTTCAGGAGACAGCTCTTCATCAGTCATATTCTGAGTGCCTTCCAACCTGAAAGCCTCATTTTCTGGCACTACATCAGAAAATATTTCACTGCTAATGATAAAGTTTTCCAGTAATATATGAGACAGTGTTTCAGTGCTATTCAGAAAGTTTCCAGTAGCCAATGTTTTTCAAAAGAGGATGATTCCATCCTTCTTCCCAGTCTGTCTTAGCTTGGAAGCTCCCCTGACACTAGTCCCATGAATGACCATGCTGGTATTTGACATAATGGTGGCAAAACTTCCAACATCACAGCAACATGCAAGCCACCACGATATGACCAACTGACAGATGAGTGGTGGTAAAGATACCTATTCTACTTTTAATTTTTTTCCAAGGCATAAAAAAAATAATAATTAGAAAGGATTAAAGAGGAAGGAAAAGAAGAGAGGTATAAGTCAAAATAGAGGGGATGGGAAAAGGGAAAGGAAAGAGAGCGTAGGGAAAGGCAAAAGGTGAGAGGAGGAAAAAACCTAAAACCTATTGCCATTGAGTGAATTCCAACTCAGTGCAACCCTATAGGGAAGAGTAAAACTGCCCCATAGGGTTTCCAAGGCTATAAACCTTTATGGAGGGAGCCTATCTCATCTTTCTCCTGTGGAATGGCTGGTTGGTTAGAACTGCTGACTTTCTAGTTAGTAGCCAAATGGTTGAACCAGTGTCTCACCAGAGCTCTGAGAGGAGGAAAGAGGAATGCAAATGGGAGAAGGTGTGACACGGGAGGTGTGAGAAAGGAGGGGAGTCTTTGCTGGACTGTGCTGGGTCCCTTCCATTTGTTAGTTCAGATCTACTCTCAATTCTCCTCCATCCCTCTCTCTGGCTGAGGAGGTAGACTTATAGGCATGTCATTAAGAATGACCTCTGCTCTCAGACTTCACTTGAGTTTGGCCAATGGAAAGGCCCAGCATATGATTGGAGGGAGTAGGGAAAGTGATATAAGAGTATTTATTCTCCTAAATGCTTTTCTGAAAGTTTGCCTGAGGATAGGTTGTGTTCCTTATCTCTAGGCTCCCTTTTCTTTTGAGAACACTCTCCTTTGAGTTCCCAGCCACAACTTTGACCAGGGTTGGAAATAGTAGCTGTCACTAGCTCTGGGTTCCTGCTCAATCCCCTGTAGTTTGCTTTTCCTCCACCAACATCATTGTAAACAGACACTTCTCAAATGTTGCATATGCTTGCTCTGATAAGTACAGTGGGAGGAGATTGAGAGAGGGATGAATTCTGTGAAAGATGCTTGGGGGATGAGGGAGAGAAAATATAGATAAGTATAGAGACAAATAACTTGATCACTGGATACAGATTCTCTCTTGGGAGTTTAACAATGCATTGACTATGACTTATGTTTAATGAATAGCATAAATACTTGGAGGTGTGAGGGGCACTGCAAAGTATAAGGGAAAAAAGAACTGAAAAAAGACAGCACAGGTAAGTGAGCATGAGGATATAAAGACCCCATCAATAACTATGAACCAGTTACAGAAGCTGATTTAGGGAGCTGAAAAGATTTCTGTTACACTTTTGAAGGTTTTCTGAATGTTTGATTAATCAATCTAAAGAAACTTTTAAGTTCTAGTTGCTAAATTCTATAATTTTAAGTTATCATTGCAGACTCTACAAGGTTAAATAGAAATGCTCTGGAAGAATAGGACCTTTTTTTTTTTTTTTTTTCAATAAAACAAAAACATCCCGTCCATAAATCAAATTGGCAACAGCTGTCTGGCCTTTGGAAGGAATTATCTCTTCTGTCACTAGATTAGCAGGTCTGCAGAAGAAAAGATTTAAGCATCATAAATAAAGAGCTCTGGTGGTGCAGTGGTTAAGCACTCAGCTTCTAACCAAAAACTTGGTGGTTTGAACCCACCAACTGCTCCATGAGAGAAAGATGTGGCAATATGCTTTGGTAAACATTACAGCTTTGGAAAACCTATGGGACAATTATACTCTGAACAAGAGGGTCTCTATGAGTCAGAATCAATTCAAGAGCATTTTTTTTTCTTTCCAGGTTTTATCATTTAAAAGTCAACCAGTGATTTTTGTAATGAAATAGTCCAACTATATTCTGGCATTAACATGAAAATACCCAGCTTCCTAGGTGAATTATTACTGAATTAATATAAACCCCTAGGCTAAGTATGTAGGGAATAATTTTAAAACCTGGCTAATGTAAGGAGATATGCTACTGATCTCTTAATCTGATCATATCCTGCAAGAGTTACTTGCCCTAGGGTCTGAACTACACAGTAATAAAATCAAAGAACATAAAAACTGTGGCAGAAACAGTGCAGAATTGGAGAAGCATCATTATGAATAGCAACAAGTATGAAGATGCATATGTAAGAGGGTAACTAGAGTCAATACAATCATGGTTCTTTCATGATTTAGGGTAAATAGATAGTTATGGCTCATCTGCTAAATGATCTACTGGGTAGATATTTATGGATTATTATACAGTATGTTATTGAGGCTAAGGCTGGTTAAAAACAAATAGAGAAAAGAGCAAATGGCATAGACAGGCTTTTATTAAGGCCATCATTTGTAATATTTCTCAGGAAAAAAATCTCTTTCAGAAATTCTTCAGCATAGCTAATGTGCAATAGAAGGACTCTCCATTTTAGGAGTGCATAAATCCCCACAAATTGCTATAATAAGGATTCATCCCTAGCCCTTTTGGCATAAATGCACATCTGGTCTCTGTTTGTAATGAAATCAATTCAAAGCCCCATAGTGCATTAATAATAAAAATGTTCAACATATTGCAACCAAATAAGCCCTGCAAATTTGAGTCTGTAAGATTCTGTCACACAAGTGCATGCTTTTAACAGTGATAAATGATAAGCTTACAGAACATTTATCAAATAGCTTAAGATTCCAAAAGTAGATGTTTTTATTGTAATTATTACTTCCACAGGTAAATCCATCTGTATGCATGCTAGAAGCTTTTACTTGCTTGATTTATAATCTTTCTTCGACTTTTATATCTGTAGCTCACAATACCACAGAAATTTTATTAATAATAAAATTATTATAAGTAATCCTGTCTGGCTCAAAGGTAATTCATAGATTTACACTTTAACAACAACAAAATTCTGAAATTAGCTCTTAGCATATCAGACATTGACTTAAGTCTTATATTAAATTAAAATAGGATAACTTTTCAAAACTGGAACAATAAGCAGCATCATGATAAATGGAGAAAACACAGAAGTTGTCAAGGATTTTATTTTACTTGGATCTACAATCAACACCCATGGCAGTAGCAGTTAAGAAATAAAACAATGTATTGGATTGAAAAAAAAAAAAAAAAAAAAACTGTTGCAAAAGACCTCTTTAAAATGGTAAAAAGTAAAGATGTCACTTTGAGGACTAAGGTGTGCTTGACCCACACCATAGTATTTTCAATTACCTCATATGCATGTAAAAGCTGGACAGTGAATAAAGAAGACCAAAGAAGAATTAACACATTTGAATTATGTAGTTGAGAAAGAAAGAACAACTTTGTCTTGGAAGAAGTACAGCCAGGATGTTCCTTTGAAGCAAGGATCAGACATTGTCTCGTTTAGTTTTGATGTGTGTGTTCTCAAGGGAGCAGTCTCTGGAGAGAGACATCTTGCTTGGTAAATTAAAGGGTCAGTGAAAAAGGGGAAGACTTTTAACAAGATGGATTGACACAGTGGCTGCAAAAATGGGCACAAACAATGCAACAAGGATGGCACAGGACCAGGCCGTATTTTGTTCTGTTGTACACAGGGTTACTACGCGTCAAAAGCAACTAGAAGACAACTAACAACAGCAATAATTTTTCCACGATAAAATTTTAAAAATCTTGATTATTTCATTCTCAGAAGATGTAATGAATAACAAAATATCCAAGTTTATTAATGCCTTCTTTGTGAGTCATAAGATTTACCTTCTGTGTTATATGATTGACCCAAGGAGAAGAACAGTTGCTGAGATCTGGTCCTTGGGGATCCCAAATTCCATCAGGAGCAAGGCATAAATAAGTTGATACACCTATAATAATGAGAGAAATATGTTTGCTTCAAATATTCAAACCATCTTTCTTAGAATTACTTCAACATCTATATCATATTTTAAAATGAGCCCAGACAAAAATGAGATAATTAAATTATGATCATGTCTATTAAACCAAATACACTGATTGGCATGCAATTGGCATTTGAGAAATGTAGCACAACGACAAAAACAAAATTTATTTTTAAAACAATCCCAGATAGCATGCTAGGCAAGGGGAATGTTTTAGTTAAATTTTATCTGGTACCTGCCTCCATTAAGCTTACTGCTCAAATTTCCAGAGGCAAGGTAGAAGTTGAGTCTTCAAGGATTCAATCTACATTTTGTTTTGTTTTAGGAAAAAAAGAAGGGGAAACACATTCTAGGTAGAGGAACAATATGCTATCTTTGACCTTGGTAGTACTAGATGGGAGAGGGTATTTAATGGAGTTGGACAGTAGGCAGGGCAAGATCATAAACTAACTCCTTTGTATATCTTCTGCAAGTGTTGGGAAATCAATAAAGAATATTAAGCAGAAGGGCAACAGGAGCAGATTTAAGCTTCGGAAATATCTCTGGCAACATCATGGAGGATGAATTTGTGGAAGTCATGTGAATGTTGTAAGGAAGTGATTACTGTGAGGGCCTAAACTAAGCTACAGCAGAGGAACAGAGAAAGGGTAACAATAATACCTTGGTGGATTGGCAACTACTGAGAGTTTCATAATTTTACTTTAAATTCCTCCCCCAATTCTCACAGAACAATAATATATTTCTGTATTAATTTGTTATTTGCAAACTTCTTGTTTTAAAATCGATTATCACCCTAATCTTCATGATAAACTTCTGAAATAAGGGGGCTGTTACTATTTCTCTCTCCAAGATGAGGGAACTGAGGCCCAGAAAAAAGGAGATAGATCTAAGAGAGAGGGACATTTCAAATTAAAGTTTTGTGATCCAATATTACAGAAAATATTTAGAAATAAATATATCTCCCCCACTTTCATAAAGGGAAGGGAGATTTCTGACTATTTTTTTTTTTTAATACTTTGCTGAAAAAATATGAAAAGTGTACTTTTAGGAAAACCAATATTGTGTTTGGTCTTGCCATCACTTCATATAGGATGAAATTCAAGAATGATGTATCATATTGGAACTTTTCTAAGAAAAACAAACTTCCTTAAAGTTATCTAGTCAGTAACACTCAAAGTCAATAAAATACAAAGACACAGTATACAAAAATGATCACACGATGACATTCATTATGCATTTGTTTTATTTACATATTCCTGGAATAATAAAAATTGAACTCATTTTATCAAGGGTTACTTGTGTAAAGTTCCATTGTATATAATACCAATGAAAAAGTAGAATATTTCTTACTTAAAAATTGTATATAATATTTATCATAATATCCCATGGTTACCATGGGAATATTATGATTCTTATCAGTAATAAAAGGGACAAAGAAGTACTTAGTTCCTATCTATGCCCTAGAGAAAACAATACAGTATTGCTCTCAGTAATGGAGGGATGAGTGAGAAGTTGGCTCCTGCCAGTACCATTCCCCATCACAAGAGCCTTTGAAAACCATAAGACTGGCAAAAAGGATAGGAAGCTTTTTCTTCTGTGAAATTTTAAGTAAACATTTCAATGATTATCTTTGAATATAAAAGTTCTCAATCTCTTTTTCTGCCAATGAACATCTTCCAGTTGGTGATAAGCATGAAACTAATTCTCAGCAATCTGGAGTAGCTGGAACACACCAGGCCTAACTCTAACCCCACCCAGAGATCTGACACAAGGATGAAAACTGCTGACCTCACACCTATTCCCACCAAAATCTCTCCTGTGACTTCTTCAGGTTGCATTTGCAAACTTAACAATAGATTATAATCTAGCTGAGTTTAGAACTGAATCAAATATAAAGTGACAAATATATGTAGTTTAGCACTTTAGGGCAGACTTACCTATAGTTCCTGCAGGACATGGCTGCTTGGCCATCTGTCCTTGCCGCGTCTTAAACCACATGATTTCTCGGGCCTCCACAGCCTCACAGCTCTCTTCAAGAGCTGGGATTTGTGATGCTGCTGATGGAAGATGTGTGGCAATGTCATCAAGCACGTCGACAGCTGGAGATGGGGTGCTGGTACTCCTGTTTTTCCTTCCGGGCACTGATGGCGTGGTACTCCTCCCTGGGCTCCAAGCTGTGGTTCTAAGGGTTGTACTGGTGGTGGTGCTTCCCAAACCAAGAGATCCTGTGGTAGAGATTTCTGAAAATAAAAATCAAAAGAAAACACCTACATTGCTTGTTCAATCTATGACCTCAAGATGTTGCACTATTTCAAAAACCACTTATACATGACAGTATAAAGAAATTTAAATGGGGTGGGGGATCCAATACCAAGGTAACAAAATGCCATTTGAATACAAAACAGTCATTTTATCACTGCAAAGCATAACTCATCACTGTCAATCAGGTTAAAACTCATAGAAACGTCATGTGCTACAGAGTAGAAACACTCCATAGAGTTTGTATAGCTATAATATTAACAAAAGCAAATTACCAGACCTTCTTCCATGGTAATACTAGGGGGGGTTCAAACTGCCAACCTTTAAATTAGTTGTTGTTGTTGTTGTTATGTGCCATCGAGTAGTTGAGTGCAAATCATTTGCAGAATCTAGCAATTATTTTAGGAGCTCTGGTAGCATAGTGCCTAAGGTACTTGACTGCTAACCAGAAGGCTGGCGGTTCAAACCCACCAGCCACTCCTCGGAAGGAAGGTTGGGCAATCCTACTTCTGTAGTGATACTGCCTTGGAAACCCAAGGAGGGGTTGCTATGAGTTGGGGCTGACTCGAGGGCACATAACAACAGCAACAGCAACTATTTTGGTTTTAATGGTTCTAGTCAAACATAACAAAGAAAATAAGATTACAAAATAAATATAGCTTCTTAATACAATTCAGTTCTTCAGTGAGGGTTACTAAGAGTCAGAATCAGTTTGATGGCAGTGGGTTTGGTTTGGGTTTTGGTGGAGTCCCCAGCTCTTTGGTATTCAATGTTTGTTATACATTCCATCACCTTGACTCCCTGCTGTCCCAGAAGAGTTCCCAATTTCTTCACAGCATATTTGGTATATCAAAGCCTCCAAAAATAGGATGGAGTTGAGCTTAGATGGGAGGAGCATGTGTTCATTTTCTGAGCATTTGAAAGATTGAAAGAGGAATACTTTTTGAAGTTGTGCAATTTGCTGTTTGTCTGCTTACTCTTTCTCCTGTTTTCCCTTCCTATTTTCCCAGCTTCCTTGTTTTTCCTCCTGTGTTCTCACTCTGTGTGAACAATATTGCTCATAAACTGGTGAAGTTCCTACAAGAAGATAATGTATCCCTTTATTTCCGTCCTTCTTCCACACACCACTTATCCATTTCAAATCCATCAATTTTTCTTCTCTTTCAAACCACCACTACCTATGTTCAGCCCACTATTACCAAATAAATGAAGACAGCAGCCATTTAACCTTTTTGTCAATAAAAGAAAGATCAGGGTAAAACTGCCATTTCAATATTTTGTTTTACAAGACAAATATTCAGAATTTGCAAGGTGAAAATTATTGATACTAAGCACTTAACACAATCCAAAAACAAAAATTTAACATATTCCAAAATACCAAGTGAAATTAAAATAAAACTATAAACAGTAAAAGTATTATTCAGATTTAACATATTCCAAAAAAATTAACATATTCCAAACTATCAAGTGAAATAAAAAAAATGATAAACACTAAAACTATTATTCAAATATATTCTTTGCTTATGAAATTAGTGAAATGATTTAGAAGGTAAACATTATATAAAAATTAAAGTTTAATAAACCCAACCCAAATTCACTGCCACTGAGTGGATTATGACTCATAGCAACCCTGCAGGGCAGAGTAGAGCTGCTTCCTAGGATTTTCTAGGCTGTAATCCCTCCGACTCGACGGCAAATAACAACAACAACAATCTCTATGGAAGCAGACTGTCTCATCTTTCTCCTGTGGAGCATCTAATGGGTTCAAAATGCTGACCTTTTGGTTAGCAGTCCAATGTTTTAGCCACAGTGTCTCTAGCGCTCCTTTAAAATTTAGTATGGATAAGTTTATATGAAATATAATTTGACTATTTAAAGTGTAGGCTCTGGAGGCGGGGCAAGATGGCGGACTAGGCAGAAGGATTGCACAGACCCTCTTCAACAAAGAAAAGGGAAACCAATTAACACAGACACAGAA